GACGTCGTGGGGGGGCGTGGTGGGGGGTGCCTGCGCCTGTTTTTGTAGCGTGAGGGGGCGCTGAAAGAAAGCACAACGAGAGTTCAGGAGGCTGGGGGTGTCAGACGTGGTGGGGGGGGGCGGTGAGGGCGCCGGCGCCTGTTTTTGTAGGGTGGGGGGTCCCAGAAAAGGGATATATACAAAGAGGGTCCAGGAGTGTCGGGGCCTGTTTTTTGAGGGTGGGGGGTGCCGGCGCTTGTTTTTGTAGGGGGGGGGCTCTGAAAAAGCTGTAGGGTGGGGGGGTCCAGAAAAAGCATACAAAGAGGGTCCAGGAGGGCGGGGTGGGGGGTGTCGGAATGATGAGGGGCGCGGTAGGTGCGCCAGGCATTTTTTGTAGGGTGGGGGGGGTCTTGAAAAAGCACAACAAAGAAGGTCGCCGAGGTGGTGGTGGTGGGGAGGGCGCGGTGGGGGTGTCGGCGCTTGTTTTTGAAAGGTGGGGTGGGGGTGTCAGACGTGGTTGGGGGCGCGGTGGGGGTGCCGGCGCATGTTTTTGTAGGGTGGGGGGTCCCCGAACAAAAATCACACGAAGAGGGTCCAGGAGGGTGGGGATGTCAGACGTGATGGAGGGGCGCGGTGGGGTGGCCGGCGCCAGGCTTTGTAGGGTGTGGGGTCCCTGAGCAAGCACACAGAGAGGGTTCAGGAGGGTGGGGATGTCAGGCGTGGTGGGGGAGCGCGGTGGGAATGCCGGAGCCTGTTTTTGCAGGGTGGGGGGTCCCTGAAAAGCTCATGAAGAGGGTCCAGGAGGGTGGGGGTGTCGTGGGGGCTCACTGGCACAGCACACAAAGAGGGTCCAGGAGGGTGAGGGTGTCAGACGTGGTGGGGGGTCGCGGTGGAGGTGCTGGCGCCAGTTTTTGCAGGTTGGGGGGTCCTTGAAAAAAGCACAGAGGGTTCAGGAGGGTGGAAGTGTCAGACGTGGGGTGGCGCAGTGGGAGGGCCGGCGCTTGCTTTTGTAGGGTGGGGGATCCTTGAAAAAACACTCAAAGAGAGTCTAGGAGGGTGGGGGTGTCAGACGTGGTGGGGGGGCGCGGTGAGGGGTGCCGGCGCCTGTTTTTGTAGATCGGGGGTCTTTGAAAAAGCACATAAAGAGGGTCCAGGAAGGTGGGGGTGTCAGGCGTGGTGGTGGGGTCGCGGTGGAGGTGCTGGCGCAAGTTTTTGTAGGGTGGGGGGTCCCTGAAAAACTCGTAAAAGGAGTCCAGGAGGGTGGGGGTGTTTGACGTGGTGTGGGGGGGCGCGGTGGAGGTGCCGGCGCCTGTTTTTGTAGGATGGGGGGTCCCAGAAAAAGCCCACAAAGAGGGTCCAGGAGGGTGGGGGTGTTTATTAGACGTGGTGAGGGGGCGCGGTGGGGGGGGCCGGCGCTTGTTTTTTGTAGGGTGAGCTGTCGCTGAAAAAGCTCACAACGAGGGTTCAGGAGGGTGGGGGTGTTAGACATGGTGGGGGGGCGCGGTGGGGGCGCCGGTGCGGAGGGTGGGTGTGTCAGACATGGTGTGGGAGCGCGGTGTGGGTGCCGGCGCTTGTTTTTGTCGGGTGGGGGGGCTCTGAAAAAGCTGCTGGGTGGGGGTTCCCAGAAATAGCACGCAAAGAGGGTCCAGGAGTGTGGGGGGGTCGGACATGGTGGGGGGGCGCGGTGAGGGTGCCGGCGACTATTTTTGTAAGGGGGGGGGGTCTTTGAAAAAGCACACAAGGAGGGTCCTGGAAGGTGGGGGTGTCACACGTGGTGGGAGGGCGCGGTGGGGGTGTCGGCGCTTGTTTTTGTAAGGTGGGGTGAGAGTGTCAGACGTGGTGGGGGGGCGCGGTGGGGGGGCCGGCGCCAGTTTTTGTAGGGCGGGGGGTCCTTGAACAAGCACAAAGAGGGTTCAGGAGGGTGGAGATGTCAGGCGTGGTGGGGGAGCGCGGTGGGAATGCCGGCGCCTGTTTTTGTAGGGTGGGGGGTCCCTGAAAAAGCTCACGAAGAGGGTCCAGGAGAGTGGGGGTGTCGTGGGGTCTCCCTGCCAAGCACACAAAGAGGGTCCAGGGAGGGTGAGGGTGTCAGACGTGGTGGGGGATCGCGGTGGAGGTGCTGGCGCCAGTTTTTGTAGGGTGGGGGGGTCCCTGAAAAAGCACACAGAGGGTTCTGGAGGGTGGGAGTGTCAGACGCTGTGGGTGAGCGCGGTGGGAGAGCAGGCGCTTGCTTTTTGGGGGGTCCTTGAAAAAACACGCAAAGAGGGTCCAGGAGGGTGGGGGTGCCAGACGTGGAGCCCGTTTCTTGATTGCTTGGGGCATGACGGGCGTCATGCCCCTCCCTCCCTTATGACGTAACGCTCCCCCCCCCCAGTGCGCGCCAGGCACTGCCGCCGTGCGCATTGGGATCCGCGTAGGTGTCCGCGTAGGAATCCGCATAGGTGTCTGGTCCGCAGTCGTCGTCGTCGTCGTCGTCGTCGTCGTCGTCGTCGTCGTCGTCGTCGTCGTCGTCGTCGTCGTCGACATCGTCGACATCGTCGTCGTCGTCGTCGTCGTCGCTCGTGGCGCGTCGCTCGTCGCTCATCGTCGTCGTGCGCGCGGACGCGACTGGAACTTGTTTTTTAGTCTGGGCCGATGACGGCAATCATCTGGGGGGTGAGGGGGTCGATGACGTCACGTTCCGCGCCGGCGGCGTCTGGGAATGTTTAGGAATGACGGAGGATTGGTCGCACTAACATGTAGGTGGCGATCTGCACCACAACGCTTGTGTACATCACAGTGCCCGCGTGCACCACAGCGCCTGTGTACACCACACCGCCTATGTACACCACAGCAGCCGCGTGCAACACTGCGTCAGTTTGTGCCACCGTGCCTGCGGGCACAACAGCTCCTGTACACACCACTTCGCCTGCGTACACCACATCAGCCGTGTGCAACACAGTACCAGTGCATTGCAGCGCCTGTATACGCCACGGCGCCTGTGTACGCCTGCGTATCCCTGTGTACGCCACAGGGGCTGCGGTGCACGCAAGCACTGTGGTGTACACAGGCGCTGTGTTGCACATGGTTGTTGCGGTGTATGTACACCGGCGCTGTAGTGTTCCCAAGCATTGCGGTGTACACAGGCGGTGCGTTGCACACGGCTGTTGCGGTGTACGCAGGCGTCGTGGTGTACACGCGCGCTGTGGTGCACGCGAGCGTTGTGGTGTACACAGGCGCAGTGGGGCAGATTGCCACCTACATGCTGCTCGCGTCGTCGTCGTCGCTCGTCGCTCGTCGCTCGTCGCGTCGTGCGCGCGGGCGCGGTTGTGGTGCCGGAACGTCATACCCCCCCGCCCCCCCCCATCCCATGACGTTCGTGTTCGCCGAACATATAGAAACGCGCTCGTGGTGGGGGACCCGCGGTGAAGGTGCCGGCGCCTGTGTTTGTAGATCGGGGGTCTTTGAAAAAACATTCAAGGAGGGTCCAGGAAGATAGGGGTGTCTGACACCCCCATCTTCCTGGACCTTCTTTGACACCCCACCACGTCCGACACCTTGTGTCAGACGTGGTGGGGGGGCGCGGTGGAGGTGCCGGCGCCTGTTTTTGTAGGGTGGGGGGTCTTTGAAAAAACACGCAAGGGAGTCCAGGAAGGTGGGGGTGTCAGACGTGGTGTGGGGGGGGGCGCGGTGGGTGTGTCGGCGCCTGTTTTTGTAGGGTGGGGGGTCCCCGAAAAAGTGCACGAAGAGGGTCCAGGAGGGTGGGGGTGTTTATTAGACGTGGTGAGGGGGCGCGGTGGGGGTGCCTGCGCCTCTTTTGATACGGTGAGGGGTCGCCGAAAAAACACGCAAAGGGTCCAGGAGGGTGGTGGTGTCAGACGTGGTGGGGAGGCGCGGCAGGGGCGCCGGCGTCTGTTTCTGTAGAGTGGGGGGTCCTTGGAAATGCGCGCAGAGGAGGGTGGGGGTGTCAGCACGGTGGGGGCGCGCGGTCGTGCTGCCGGCGCTTGTTTTTGTAGGGTCCAGGGGTCCCAGGAGGGTGGGGATGTCAGACGTGGTGGGGGGGCGCGGTGGGAGTGGCAGCTCCTGTCTTTGTAGGTTGGGGGGCCCTTGAAGAAGCACACAAAGGGGGTCCAGGAGGGTGGGGGTGTCAGACGTGGTGGTGGGGGGCGCGGTGGGGGGTGCGGGCGCCAGTTTTTGTAGGGTGAAGGATCGTGGAAAAACACAACGAGATTTTCAGGAAGATGGGGGTGTCAGACGTGGTGAAGGGCCGCGGTGACGGCGCCGGCGCCTGTTTTTGTAGGGTGGGTGGGTCAGAAAAGGCATACAAAGAGGGTTCAGGAGTGTGGGGGTGTCAGACATGGTGGGGGAGCGCGGTGGGGGTGCCAGCGCCTGTTTTTGTAAGGTAAGGGGTCGCTGAAAAAGCGCACAAAGAAGGTCCAGGAAGGGGGGGTGTCACACGTGGTGGGAGGGCGCGGTGGGGGTGTCGGCGCTTGTTTTTCTAAGGTGATATGGGGGTGTCAGACGTAGTGGGGGGGGGCGCGGTGGGGGTGCCGGCGCATGTTTTTGTAGGGTCAGAGGTCCCTGAACAAAAACCATGCAAAGAGGGTTCAGGAGGGTGGAGATGTCAGGCGTGGTGGGGGAGCGCGGTGGGAATGCCGGCGCCTGTTTTTGTAGGGTGGGGGGTTCCTGAAAAAGCATTCAAAAGAGGGTTCAGGAGGGTGGGGATGTCAGGCGTGGTGGGGGAGCGCGGTGGGAATGCCGGCGCCTGTTTTTGTAGAGTCAGGGGTCGCTGAAAAAGCTCACGAAGAGAGTCGTGTCGTGGGGGCTCACTGACAAAGCACACAAAGAGGGTCCAGGAGGGTGAGGGTG